AATTTTTATTTTTACAATATTCTCCTTTTTTTAAAACGTTATAGATTATTATAGAATTACTTCTTGGTTTAATTGTATGTCAATTTGATATTTGACACATTCAGTGCAGTAAATATCACATTAATATTATAGGTCACACAAAACTCGGTAAATAATAATATTTATCATACAAATTGAGACTGTATTAAATGGTAATTCAAACATGGCATGAAACTGGTCAGCAATCATTTTTCACGGGAGCAGAATAAAACAACTACATTTTCTTTTCTCGAATAGAAATGTGAAATTTCTTTTATCTTCTTTCGATTCATTTTAAATTATAGAAACTCATTTATAACGAATAGAACAATTCTCCTTCTAAACTAATTTATTCCGAATGAAATAATTAAAAAGTAAACTAAAGCAAATATATGAAAAAGAAAATTCTAAAACAAATTTTCATAAATTCACGTGAAACTTGAATGGACAGATGAAAGAAGTTTATTATTTCAAATATTACCAAACAGACGTGGAGAAAATTGATGGTGTTATTCGAAAGAAAATGGCAGATGTCCGGAAGATCGAGTTTCTAAGAGAGTCATTAGAGTTTTATTAGTTAATTTTATTTTATCCGTTTTATGACGCACTGAACTTCTCGTAATTTCATACCCACATTCGACATAAAAATACTTCGACACGTCGAATCTCCTCTATACCCGGTGGTCATTTTAATTTTACACGAATGGCCGACGTGACCAGCGGAGACACCATAAATGCCACAGACTTCAAAACTACCGGAAATTCGCCGTCCCGGAAGGAAGTTCACGTGAACTTCGTCGAATTATCTACGTGCGTCTGTTTTATTTCCTTCGCAGGCTCGAGTGACGTAAATAAAAAGGTTTTTATATCTCAATACTTGTTGTTATTCGTCTATTGCAATATTCACGGTGAATATTCTTTGCAATTTATAATCACGAATTAACACCACTCGTTCTCGTTACTAAATTTACATCGTTATATTGTAACGCGGGAATTACAATATGTATAATGTACGAATATTACGTTCAATTTTAATATTAATACCAGAATATCATATTAGAATGAAATTTACAATATTATACTTTTAAATTTTGCTTATTTTTTATATGGATCACCTTTATGCGCAAAAAATTTGTTCACCAGAAGAGTGTTTGACGGATATTTTTAACACTTGAAAATAGAATTATCATTTCTTCAAGTAATTAAATACGTACAAGTATTAATATAGGTTTGAAATAATAAAAAAAAGTATTTATTAAATAATGACCAATAATTTGCAAATCAACCAAAAATTCCACTAAAATAATTCCAATAAAAAACTCCATTCTAAGATCATTGTTACGGTTAATAATGGTTATTTTTTATATGTTACAATACAATGATATTACCAGAATCCCGAAACAGCGTCGAAAAGTGTTCCTGACAAGTTTCGAGGATCGTTCATTAACTCCACTAATTATAACTCGCTTAATTATTATCGCGAAAAGTGAGAATATTATTAAACATAAACGAATCGATATGCAAAAGGGAAAAACTGCGGAAAACATCGTTTATCTTTTGGCCCGGCGGCAACGAGAGATCGATCGATGAAATACAGGGGTGGAATCGATCAGCGAGCGCAAAGTGGCCGATTGAATTTCAATATTAATCGGGACCGTTAGCGCATGGACGTTCCCGTCCGGGCTATTAAAAATGCAACAGGCCAAAATTGGCCTTGCCAAGGGAAACAATGCTGTTAATGTCTCTGTTGGCCTCTGTTTTTCGTGTTCTTCGTTTGCAGCGTGGCTGGAACGTGTAATTGGAATGGTCACTGGATCGAAGATTCAAGTTTTAATTACAATACAACAATTGGCTTCGCGTTAGTGGCAACGAAATGAAAATTATTAGTCTCTTTTCTGGTGATTTTCGAGAAACTTTGCTTCGAACAGAAAATTAAATTATAATCTTCTTTCTGTTGATTTTTGAGAAAGTTTTTGCTTCGAACAGAAAATTAGAAAATTGACTGATAATGAATACGAATATCATCAGTGGCAAGAAAATTTAAATTAATAATCTTCTTTCTATTGATTTTTGAGAAAGTTTTTGCTTCGAACAGAAAATTAGGAAGTTGATTGATAAAGAATATGAAAGTCGTTAGTGACAAGAAAATTAAATTATAATCGTCTTTCTGTTGATTTTTGAGAAAGTTTTTGCTTCGAACAGAAAATTAGAAAATTGACTGATAATGAATACGAATATCATCAGTGGCAAGGAAATTAAATTGTAATATTCTTTCTGTTGATTTTTGAGAAAGTTTTTGCTTCGAACAGAAAATTAGAAAATTGACTGATAATGAATGCGAATATCATCAGTGGCAAGGAAATTTAAATTAATAATCTTTATTCTATTAATTTTTGAGAAATTCTTTGCTTCGAACAGAAAATTAGGAAGTTGATCGATAAAGAATGTGAGAATATTTTTTATTACTGCATTTTAACACGTACGAATTAACTATGTATTACCCGAAAGTTGTATTAAATAAATTGATTTGTTTTTTTTAATTAAAACGGTATTTATGTCCGCTCCGACCAATATTTGCGAATATTTCGACAAACAGCGCTAATTTTCTCGTTCCACGTCGGTTTTCATTTTTCCAAACATCGCCCCGTATCTTCATTCGAACATGTTACAAAATTGAAATAATTGCTCGGTGTAGGTGTGTATTTTTTCCTGGCCTGTGTGCATAACGTGTTTGCTTTTATTTGGACATTGGCGACGCCAACGGATGAAAATACGCTCCCGTGGCGCAGAAACTTTATTTTTTTATCGGTAGATAATCTGAAAATATGTGTTTGTCGAAACGGGACAGGCGAAAATTCGGTATTAACGGACGTGAATATTGATCGGCGCTGTTATTCCTTGGAAAATAGATTTTTCCACGTTAACAAAATTATGTTACACTTTCGTTCATCGTGAAATATTCCCGCGGCTCGAATCAATCGAAGAATAGATTGGAAATTTGAAGAATAAATTGAAAATTGAATATATATATTCAATTGCAATTTGTCAATTGAGCTATGGGAATTTCAGTGAAAATCAAGAATTTCGGAGAAAACGGAAAATTACTATCCTGCGCAATTTTCTAAATAAATTAGCTATATAGGGTGTTTAAAAAACTGTTCACTTTTTTCAGAGAAATATAACTGATAACACAACGTATCATGTTAACAAATGTACTTTGTCTTCAGAGTCTTCATTTGTCGACACACTTTTGGAATCTTCTGCAAGTGATTTCCAAAATTTTGAGGCACATTATTTTTATTTACTCTTGTAATCACATTCGCGATTTTCTGTTGAAGGTATAAAATATACAGGGTGTTATGTGTATAATCTTCAATTTAACAAGGATTTTAAAAATTATATCAAAGTGGATCTGATTAATCAACGAAAAAATGGTCAGTTAATTATCCACAATTACTCCTTAGTTCGAAGATATCCTGTATAAAGTACAAATTCTCCATGCAAATGATAACATTTTTTCAAGTAGCCTGCATAATGTTCAGTTTAGAAAGTCGCGATACTATATCAAAGATTCTGATTAATCAACAAAAAAAAAGATCGTTAATTACCCGAATTTACCTCAGTTCAGAGATACCACATAGAAAGCACAAATTCTCCATACAAGTGTTAACATCTTTTCCATAATTTACGTGTACAATGTCCAATATAAAAAAATCGTGAAATTATGCAAAGACTTAAAAAATGAATAAAAGAGGCTCTGATTAAAAAAAAAAAAATTGAAGGAAACAATAGAAAGAATTGTTACGTTTTATGAGTAAATTTGCCGGTGTTGGTTGCACAGGATCGTGCAACTTGGAAAGACTTCTCGCATAGGCGGATCGATTTCTCGTCGTTCCGGCGACTAACTCGGTAACAAGTTCCTCTTTCGCGGCAACTTCCGGCTCCGGCGTGTTCCCAAGCTGCGTTTTAATCTCCGTCGGGGATCTAACGTGCCGCATTTCTTTACCATTTTATGCTAATCGACGGTGAAGTTCGCTTCGCGGCGACAGCTGATGACAGCGATGATGTTTTAGACTCTGATGACTTCTAGAAACTAAAAGGAGAAAGAAAAAATGAAAACAGTTTACGTTTCATTGGAAAACAGAAGTGAAATAGATTCTGTTCATTACTCTAACCCCGTGTAAACAAATGTTCATAATACAGGGTGGCTCGTAAGTCGGTCACTTCACCATTTAAAAATCGAACAATATTTTTTCTGTTATATTTGAAAATTTTTGATCCAGATTTTCAATATTTATTTTACGTCAATTTCTAAAATGGTCAAAATTAAAAAAAATATATTTCTCTTTCACTTTGTGTCCTGAAACTTTCGTTACTGAGTGTGGCCTATGAGAATGAAATATCATTTCTTGTGAATGATTACGGAAAATGAATGCGGTAGAAAATGTTACAGTGAATCTATGTTGACAAAGATATTAAGAAAAAAATTGTTTCTGAAGTGTTATAAATTTTATTGTAACTCTAGAAAATGTGACAGCGGCTGATTACATTTTGGCCTTTTTTTTTTTATTTGTTACAGAACTCAAACAACCAAGTTGCGATTCCTGGACAGAACCAGGTGGCACAGACACAAGCAGAGACTCAAGGGGGGCCTAACACTGTTCTCAGAGTCATTGTCGAGCAGATGGTTTACCCAATTTCCTTGGATGTACTCTATCAGGTAAGTTACGACTTCTGTTTCACTGTCTGCCAAAGGGTTCCTTGTTAATTTCTCAGAGTTTTTCAATCTATCGAGAATTTACTACCTACAGAAACTCTCATTCTGACTTAAACACAAAACTAGGATAGTGAATACAGAGATCCAAACACAATTTCTCTCTCAAATTAACTATTTATTCTTATTAATTTACAATTGAATATTCTCCAACTGGCATATATAACCACTAAAGCTCGCATAAAACGAAAATTCGATTTTTATACATAAAGAAAATTGTCGCAACAAGTAACAAGCATTTTTGTCACTTGAAACGTGCAATTGTAATTAAAATGGGTAGAAAAAGGTAGAAAACCGAGCACAATTTTTTAGTCAAATTATCCATTAACCCTTTGCACTCCAAAGGCGCTGTTATGGCGACTGTCGTGTACTCGCGTCGGTTTGAGTTATGTTTCAAACTTGGATCACGAGAGAAAAATCGGACTGTTTTCTAACGAGGTCTGAAGCGATCCCGGAATACCCTTTCTCCAACGTTATAATATAAACGACTTGATTATGCGTTCAGCGCTCGGACTGACTCAATACTTGGTTGTTTAACGTTCAGAATGATACTGATTCGAAATTCAGAGGAAGTCACGCATCTCAGCTACTGAGGGCGGAGTTTAATTTTGGAAGTGAAAAATGGGAGAAATAAGAACATTAAGTATTGGTCGTAGGGTGTGGTGGTGGGAAGTGGTGGTAGAAGGATGAGGTGTCGGGGTTTTGGGGAATTCCGAAAAAAGGAGATAGGACATGAGAGAAGGAAGACACTAGTTCAGTAATTGGAAAATCGGGACAATGGTTAATAAACTGAGTTCTGGTGGTGAAATTACCGAGGGTACGCGCTTAATAACGGCCCCGGCTAATCCTATGGGTCGCGGATTCTTCAGGCCCGTCTTACAATTTCCTTAAGCTGTAAAAATAAAAGGAGAAAGGCTCGATGCGAAAATAGACAAAAAAAATGTTCGGTACGGAACAGCGACATACTTCATTACTCTGGAGAACTTAGAAATGTAAAATTGAAGTTTCTTAATATTACTAAAATAATGCAACTTAAATATTAAAAATTTGGAGAACTTAGAAATGTAAAATTGAAGTTTCTTAATATTACTAAAATAATGCAACTTAAATATAAAAAATCTTTTCTTTCTTGACAAATCTTTATATTTTCAAAAGTTTCACTGCAAAAGTACACTGAAATTGCTATCTAATCTTATCAAAAAATGCTTGGAGTGCAAAGGGTTAATTTCTCTTTCATTAAGGATGGAATATTCTTTATCTACAGCTGTTGAGTTTATATAAAACAAAAATTCAAAACTCACGTTGCACAATATTCCTGAAATATCGACCAAAATCTGTCCTGAATTGTTCAACCATTTGAAACGTCGTCACTAGAATTCCACGATTTTCCATAGAGATTCCACACAGTCCCGAATTTTCGAATCGCACCGCGCGTACACTGTACACTATTGAACCACAAAGAACCTGAAAATGGGGTCAACGAACGTTCACGCGTATTTATTCGACAACAACGGGCAACACGAGGATCGTAAAAATGGTCGAAATCGGTGGGAATAATGCAGGAGATGGGAAATTAATCGGATTTCGCGGCGTATCCGGCGAATTCGATTCCCGATTAATCGGATATTTTCTCCTTTCGCCGGTTCGCGCGCGGATTACGATGGGAAAGGGTCGCGGCATATTTCGCGCGGCGATCTCGCCAGATTTTTCGCCTCGTTTTCGTTAATGGAATATTAAATAATCCACACTGGCCAACGAAACGTTTACTCGCTCGAAAATCCACTGCTCTCTTCGCCAGTTCGTTGTGCTTCGTTTAAAATCGATTGTATTGCTTATTTATCAATATTTTCATATTTAACGAGGATGAAAAAGCATTTACTACTGATTGAAATATAACACTAATTGGGATATAGTATGATAATAATTGGAATTAAATGTGAATTCGAATTTTCTTGTGCAACGTAGAAAATTGGAGGAAATTGGTGACATAATTGATGATTTAAAAAATGATACTAGCGTTAAATGAATTTAGTAGATATTGTTGTGGATAGTGATAGAAATTATTGTGATTTTTCTTGTGTAGGTTGTTTCTTTTTTTCTTTTTGGTATAGTATACTTTATTTTATAATAATTATAGAAAGTGTAGTTGTAGGGGACTTCGTTGAGTTGGTAGAGTCTTCGTCGATCTTCTTTTAAAGTCAAGCATCGTTGACCGCAGTCACAATAAAGATGGGTGGCCGTTAGAAGAAATTCGATTTCTTTTCTCTTGATTGATAATTCGTGGACATTTTCGAACTCTTGGGGGAGAAGAAACCTGCTTTCTTTCTAAAATTTATAATTCTCTCCCTCCTTTCTCTCTATACTACAATGCAAAAATCTCTTATAATAAAGTTGATGTAATAATTGAACGAAAAGCTTGCGGAATTCTTGAAAGGTTTATATTAAAGAGAATTGAAATTGATGATTGAGAAAATTGAAGGTAATGGGTATAAAAATGACAGAAAATAAAAATGTTGTTTCAATTTGAAAGCTCCGGAAGTTCCAAGAAGGAAAATTTTTCAGTTGATAATTTGAAAATATTTCAGGGAAGAAAGAATTGCATATTTTGTAGTAACACTTGCGAAAATGGTCTGTAGTAAATAGAAAAAGTTAGCAAAATTGGAAAGAACGTTTTGTATGTTTGAATTCTAATTTTTATTGTCAATTGCAGGTTTTATGAAATTAAGGTAATTGCATCTCTTGAAAAAAAAAAAAAAAAAAAAAAAGAGAGATTAGAGAAACGTTTTCTGCTCCACATTTTAAAATAAAAGCCAAGTAAAGCATACATACAAGCTGAAAAGAATTATTTCACAGAGATTAATAATTGAAAAGTAAATCTGCAACGTTTTCGTAGACCGAAATATTAGCTTTTATGTAGAAAGAAGAATGTATAATACATATTTTTCAAGTCAGAAACTAAAATGCGAAGTTATTGAGGCACGTTACCGTGAAAATATTCTATCCAAAATATCTGGATTTATACGCAGCCAAACATGAAAAAGTTCCTGGAAAACATTTGCTGCTTGTCCTTTTTTGCTCGCATCGGCTTAACCTATTATTTTTACGAAATTTTTCCTCTATATTTTCTTCCTGCTTGTATATTTTATTATGATGAAAATGGTAAAAATGATTTCAGATTTAGTTGAACTACCGTTGATTATTTTCATTTATTTATTTGTTCGAATTTTCAAATTTTCTAAACTGTTGTATAAAACGAGCTTAATTATCACTTAGAAAATCAAAATATTCATCGTAGAATTTCAATATTAAGGACAATTCATTATTTCCATACGTTCATAGTCTTTTCTGTCATAATTTTTGCACTATTTTCAATGCCACTGTATAACAATCGCGGAAACTATCTTTCAAATTATACTTATTCCGTTCACTTCAGATTAAGATAAACTGTTCATTGTTATAACCTATTGTTTTATGCATGTATCATATCGGAACCTAAAATTCCGAAATAATCATTAGAAACTTCCAAACTAACCTCATCAATACTTCTATTTGAAATATCTTAAAATTCTCTAAAATCCTAATAACTCAGAATTCTT